ACACTATATGCCCCGGCCATATTCATGGCGGGGCATAAAAATGAGTTAGTTAATTTCAAAATATTCTCCTTTATGCTAAATAATTTTCTCAAATTCCCAAAAACATTTTTCAACAGTGTATAGAGGGTCCTTAAAAAGTATCACACGAAGTGCACGTGTGTTGACCTGTCAATCAAGATCACCCGCGCTATAAAATAGCCTGATTAATCTGAACTAATCTGAACTAATCTAATTTTTGGTCTATAAAATAGCCTGAGTTCGAAATGATCTTGAAGTATGATCTTTAAGTAAATCCAATGCAACAAACTTGTGAAAAAATAAAATGAAATAAAATAAATAAAATATCTCGGTATTATAAACTTCAATTGTGGGACGTGGAGACCGGTCCTTTGGATCCTTTAAATCGAGGTCCCGTGACGCAGAAGGTGCTGGCACAAAAAAGATTCCTCACTGATCAATGGCGATAAATGCCAAAGTATAGGACAAAAATTTGCAGTCTCCACCAGCGAGTGCTGGCGTCTCCATGTGAGTGATAAATTCTCGAGAGGGACGTTAAAGAACAAACAAACAAACAAAAAAATCAAATTTGAGAATTTATCATATATACACCCGTAGTTGGTGCATCACTTTTATTTAAACTTTGGAAGGATGACCAAGAAAAATTTAATCAGAAATTTTAATGAACTAAGCAAACAACCTACTCATTGTTAACACTTTGACCTGTTTCAAAGAAAGTGGGTCCCAACAGTAACGCACTAAAATCACTTGACTCTGACACAGATTTAGTGTTTCGGTGGTGCAATACGAGGCTTATATTAGAATTTTAAATAGGTAATTAATTAGCTGTGAATTTGCCATCATCGGAAAGACGTGTTACTGACTAAACATTTAATACAAGTATGAAAACGGGCATCTCCAGCATACGTTTGAATTCTACATATCATTCACATGAATAGAATGGATTGATCATAACACGAGAGCGTTTGATTATCTAATACGCTAAATGTTTTTCTTGTCATATAATGTGAGGATTTGACCAGTGTGATAAATGGGCCAAATGATTCTAAGAGAAGAAGATGAATAGTCAATCAATCAATCAATCGATTGCTGAATAATTACCGTAATTGAATAATCTTTCTTATAGGTATGCTGTCAAATCTTAATATTATATTATATTCAAAACTCAGTGACTTTACGTTTAATTTGATACTAACTTAATTCATTATATTTTTTTATAACACCATCACAATTATGCCAGAACATATACACAGTAAAGTTTATGATAGTACGGTGTTCGTTCGTCTGTTTGTTTGTCTTAGAATTGATTGCAAACATTTTTTTTAAATGCTAATTATCCTTGCTCTATGATATACGTAAATATCTCATAGGTGCCAAATGCATTATACAAGATTGATCATGAAAATCAAAGTACCTTAAGTACTGAAAGGACTTTCCTCCAGTTATTTATTTCTTTCACAGTAAATATGATATGTATGTTTTTTACACAGAAAAAAGCAAATTCTTACAGATTTAGTAGAACGGAAGACTTTTTTGTTGCCATGGCAACAAGAGTCTAGTTTTTCTTATTTTCTTCTTATGTTAACCCTGAATTGTATGTTCATAATGAATGTGTTTTACCAAATGTGTTGAAACTAAATTTAGTGTCAATTAACCCAAGCTGTTTCGTACACTTGGTGTCTGAATCAATGTTCATAGTTAATTACATTTACAAAACTACCCGATCAATTAAGAAATAATTAAGTGAAATTAACTCTTTCATCAGTCTGTCCAAGCGGCTTTGAATTTATATGCTCATCAGTGTATCAATTAATTTTAATCATACGGCGACATTAAGTGTATTTTGGTTATTTTTTTATGTTTACTTTGGATGAATAAAAGAAACAATTTGAATGCATGCTCTCTTGCTGTGTTAATTGATTTAATATGTGACATTAAAAAAAAACAAACAAAAAAAAAAAACGAAACATTGGTAGTTTGAATTGACCATAAATAAAAAATGAAAGTAGATCAAAATACACAAGATGGATGCCAAAGGGATCTAGAAGATTGAGTTTGAAGAGTATTAAGCTTTATTTAAGTGAATTTCTTTATAATAAAAAGTTGAAACAGTAAGTAAATATTGTGAAATGATAAATTAGTTCACTTAATTGTATTTCAAATAAACCTAAAATATTGAAATTATATGTAACGTAACATGTATAATACATCCAATAATTAGCACAAACGTCGTTTCATGTCAGACGTCCGACATGGATTTCAGCCGACTATGGTTATTATAATAGTCACTTATTATAAAGTTTTGACCTGACAAGTAAACTATGATAATAAACGAATTGTACTGTATGTATAATCTGTTGATAATGATAATCTGTTGTTAAATGATATTAAAAACAAGTTACAATTAATTTGAGCTGCATATTCATCGTTTCCATGTAGGCCGCCATTGACGATGTTATTTATAGACGTTCACGCATTCATGTGCTTGTGTAATCATAGTCCACATGTACTTAATCAGACACTCGGTTGGGAAGAAAAATAATTGAACAATTTTATAATGAAATACAATAAATCAACATTTATTTGGGGTTTTAAATAACGCGGTGAAAATTCATTTCAACACAAACACCCCACTATACCACTGTATACTATATGTCTCAATCAAAGCCAATGTTGTGAACACGTGCGCTTGTCACTTGATCTCAACACCCCTCCAGGCAAATAAATTGTCTACCAACTCCTAAGCATTGTTTTTACAGTTAGAGCACTGATTATTTACTGCCCTTATTAATGGCTTTGATCGTTTTCTTTGTGAAAATTTGGGGGTCGATTTTTACCATTCGTAAATTATTTTTCGTATAAACTTGTGTTGATTATGAAACATTTAACAGTTAAACGCTTCTTAAATGTAATTTTACTTTAATTATCTTATATTTATCGGCCTCTTGTTAAATTAATTAAGAGTTTAAAAAGGAAATATGAAGTCTGTTAAAACTTGAGTGTTATAATTACTCGTGCTCTCGATCTGTTCAAACTGAAATACAACAGTATTTTGTGCTTTGTTGAAATAAAATTATTTCTGGAAGGATAAAGATAACATGTAATGTCATGATTGCCGTTAGCTAAAAATAAAATAAAATTTAATAATATTTTGTGCTTTCTTGAATAAAATCATTACCACGTACGCGAAGATTTAAAGACTCATTGCTGCAACGTTTAAAAGTGCAAGATTTATATATTTAGCCTGACATAAATTTAATAGGACAACATTTTGTGCTTTGTTAAAATTAATCAAATTATACAACGACTTTTAAAGACAACATTGCCGTTAGCTTGATTTATAGTGCAAAATTTAATTATTCCTATGAATAATACCGCCATGCTTAAAATCAGGAGTATCGTAAGCTCAAAAAAAGAGTCCATGTATGAAAAGTTACCGTGCTTAATTTTTCAATACATTATTTCCACAAAGACTTTAAGTTCAAATTACAGCGATGTAAAAAAGACAAAATTACTGCTTGGTCAATTTTTTGACAGCGTATAATACAACCGAACTGCGTTTTTTCCCAAATTTTCTAGCCAAAAAAGGGGGTGCATGTTTTACACCAATGCGTATTATATTCAGCCAAATACGGTTATATGATAAACCAAAGCCTTGTCACCATGATATTTGATCATTGCGTGTCAATCCCACTCATATGTTTCCATAAAGTCCTAAATTGATGCTTCTCTCCAAAAGCATATGCTTTCCAGCAAAATACATGTATATCCAAAAATGAAAATTTAAACAGATAAAGCATATGTATCACCTTCCCATCGCCTAGAGGAGACACTCTGTTCCCAACAAGTATACACCCCACATGTGTGAAATTGAAACTTTTCATGAAATCACCAAAATGCTTTGATAATAAGTGGAATTATATCAACTCAAACGTTTGATCAACATCGATTGTCAGCTGTTTTGTATCGAAAATGTGCAGATTTGAAACAGAGTAGGAATTTCGTTATACGAATTTCTTTAACTCGCTTTTGACCATTTACGTATCATGTCATCCGTAGCACAGGATAATACATGTACACACAAGCTGGATGAAAACGGTAAGTAAATCAACCTTTCTCAATACTATGAATTCCCTTTACATGTTTTCACTAGAAATGTGTGGGTCTTCGCTTAAATTCATTCAAAAACAATACAATACAAACTTCTTTCGATGTCCTAGTTTGGCATGTACCTATTAATTCCTTTTTTCAACACCTGTGCAAGTTTTAGAAGAATAAGATTAAATATATTTGAGCCCACTCTCTAAACGGATCTTTGACACCTAAATTTTTGTGATGATTAAAATTTTCGTTAATATTTCAATTTCATTCAATTTCTTTTTTTCATCCTTTTAACCCTTTGATATATATTTATTTTCAGATTTTGCATGAAATCCTACCAGTTCTTCTCATGAAAATGCTGTTTTAGTTTTTCTTTTGTCTATTATTGTAAATTCAAATAAAAATTATGTAGATTTCATGTATAACTTTGTTGGTTTCTTTCAAGATTTTATAAAATTAAACTTTGAATAGAAAATTAAAGCATAAGGCTTTTAAAAATAAAGAATCAACGGGTTTCTACAAAATAAATTAAATATTTTATATATTTCCAAAAAATAAAGTTAAATACTTTGGAGCTTTACTTTATTGGATATTGAGTCTATTATTAGAAACAAATGCATGAAACAAAATCATTTATACTTCATAGGTGTAGAGATCCTCCTTAATTTGAACAAATTTGATTAAATATTTTTTGGTTAAATATATTTTTTTCCTGGTTCTGGAGAAGACTAAGTCAAAATGCAAGTTGACAGATACACACAAGGAGGGACAGTCAATGGACAACAGGTGATCAGAAAAGCTCACTTCACGACTTGAATCTTTGAGAGAGAGAGAGAGAGCTTAAAAATCAATGTTTACTTTGAAATCTGAAATTTACTTACGTAAGCTCATCATTAGGACTCTTCTGTTGTAGAGATTTCCCAATACCAAAGCCCAAGAAACATATTGCAAACATAGGTGTTACACCAGCCACAGGAGCAGCCATTCCCTTGTACAGTCCAAAGAAACCCTGTCAGAGAACAATGCACTGATTACATAATTAGAATTCTATATAAATTAATTCATTACACCCTTAAAGCTGAACACAACTCCTAAATAGGCATATGCCATATTAAACTTCCTGTCTATAATCTCAGCACTGGGCAGGGATGGGGTTATTGAAAAAAAAAGTACTGTAGATTCCTTATTTTACATGAGTGCTTAATATCGCGAAATGGTTCTTAGGCATCCAATCGCGAGAACAATAATTCCCGAGTGGACAATTGGCCAAAAGACTTTATATGGATTTAAGCTCCATAAAAATAAAAACAACTAATTTTATTTTGTGAGAGAATTGAGCGATAATTAATTCCTCACATATATTTATAGGAATCTACAGTAATTGCCTCTCAGACTATATATACCCCGAAATGCAAAATACTGAAATTTTGAAAATACAAATTTGTTTATATGGGTGAATTAAAAAAAAATGACCACCAAACTGAAATTTTTTGGAAAAATTCAACTACTTGTAACATATTTTTCACTTATATCATCATATTGCACATGCATTCTAGTTTAAAATCCTGAAGTGGCAATATAGAATAGACAATTGGATTAAAAAGTTTCAGAATTTTTATTAGTAAAATTTCTTTTGAAAAAAGAAAATATCATTATACCTTAAAAGACTTTCTAAAATACATAATCACAGAAATTATAGTTTTTTTTTATGCTTCAAAATGGTAAAAGGGGTATAAATGATATTAAATCTAGACCTTGATTGAGTATCTCCTCTTGTATATGTGACAAAAAATTGGCTTTTTGATTGTTATCATACATTATTTTTTCAATTCTGGTTTGAAAAGTTTTAATATGAAAAAAAATGAAGCAATAAAATTCCTCGAAATTCACGTTCTCGTCAATTCTTTAAATCTAAGCCAAAAAAGAGTTTTTATAAACGAGTTCTCTTACAAAAAATACTAGATTTTGAAGTGACCCCATGTTACATTATTGTGTTGCACTCCTGACATATGATATGTATTTTATTTAACATATCCTTGTTTTACAAATTATAACACACAATAACCCATTCTTACTTTGTAAATCAATTTGTCGTTCTGATATTTTTCATTGTTTACGACAGGTTTTTCATATTTTGAAGACCTTAAAACATGATTATTTGCAAAGTGTAATACATGTATATATAAATTGTAGTTAAAAATATAAATATGTGAAAGGATGAAAACTATTCCCTGAATTGACTGTAAAATTTCTGTAATTTGTTGATAGACATAGTGTTTTGAACATCAAATAGTATCAAACATTTTTTTTCAACTTATTTTTTAGTAAAGATAGTTAAAAAGGATTAGTAATTATAAAGCAGTTTTGTTGCACTCCTGACTGCAATAAAATTTAAAATTAAAACCATAGAACACAAAAATTCATAAAGTGTTGGCAACATCAAGTGGTAATGAAATTGTGCAATATTTATAGTCCAATACTTCATAATTAAAACAGATGAAAGTATTTAAAATTTGCATTTTATCTGGAATTATTCCCTTATGTCCAAAAAACTAGCTTAAATGTATATTTAGAACATAAAAAATATTTTATATAGCATATTTTCCTTTGGAGGACAAACACAGTAAACCCACTAGAAAAATTCTACTCATCATTTTTTCTTTATTTTTATTCTTAGTGGATGATTTATAATTCTAAGATATTTGTTGCACTCCTGACCAAAAGCATTGGGGCCTTTAAAGTAGAATTGTGAAGTGAAAATTACATAAGAACTTGTTCTGTTGTTTCAGTGAAGTTGAGGAGGAATTACTTGAATTTTATGACAATTTTTTTAGTGTGTTTATTTTTAACATTCATTTAAAAAAATCACAAAAAGATAAAAACACATCTGAATTGGTAAAATTAAAAAAGGAAGGATTTTAATAATAAAACTGTCAATAATTTAGTATTAAATTCTACAAAAAGATCATTATTAATTAATGAATACTTCTAAGCATGAATAGAAGTGTTTTCGTCACACAACTTGAATCTTAAAAAAAATGTGTTGCACTCCTGACCATAGAAATATAGATCTGCCTGTAATTGATAAATCTCTTTGGTAAAAATGTTCTTTGTGTCTTTATTTTCCAAAATAAAGATCAGAAAATCAAATAATGATAATAGTTTTTTCATGCTTGGGAGCAAAACAACAAATGTTGCACTCCTTACATTATTGGGTATGCACATATACTTGACTCTCATTAATGCTGCTTGTGATTTATATAACATTATTAAGTTTTAAAATGTATATCAGTTATTGTTTTACACTTTGAAAATTCTTTTTTGTCTTAATTTTCTTTCAGAATTTTACAATTGATGTTTTTTGGCAACCCTACATTTTTTCTGTCATGGTATAACAATTTTTTAAACATCAGCCATGACCACAACTTGATTAAACAAAAGTTACTACAGTCCACATTTAAGGTAAGGTTTGCAACTCCCTCCAAATTTTATTTATTAAAAATTGTACATATGTCATATGTCTATTTACTTGGGAAGAGTATATCTTCATTATTTAACACGATTTCAACAGATATTGCCCGTCCCGTTTTTTGTGTAAAAGACGCCAAAATTTTTTATTAAAATGTTTTTGGCAGAAAATTGATCACAATATCACTCATTCTATGCTACTAAAAAATCAGTTCATGGAAATTCTCTTGGTATACATGTCCTACTTAAAGCACCTTTACAATATACTATTGATGAAATAGTCAATGGAATTATGTTTCAACACATTTTAGAAACACATGTATAAAATTTATAAACATGATTGAGGTGTATACATGTACATGTATTTGTTCATCGTGGTTTCTTAGTATGCTGCTGTTGGAAAACCAGTTTTAGTAAACCAATAAAACCTTTTTTGACCTCATGTTGATTTTTAAATCATTCCAAAGGATTTCAACTACATGTATTAATTTCTAGACATCCTTAGCTAATGTCTTTACCCATCTATGACTAGTGAGGCTAAGTTACATGCTATCATTTGAGTGAAATTTTGTAGGCATTGTATCTAGTAGGTAGCTGCTATCTTAAAACAGTAAGTTAACATATATCTACATATCAATCAATTTATTAGTCTGTTTATTTGTTTGTTTAATATCTCTACAAGAATTTTTCACTCATATTGAGACGCCACCCCTTACCAGTGGAGGGCTACAAATATAGACCCGTACTCGACACTTATGGCCTTTGAGCAGTGAGGGATCTTTTTCGTGCCAGCAAATACTGTGATACAGGACTTTGGTTTATATGGTCTCATCCAAAGGACTGGTCTCCAAGTCCCACAGTGGGATAAAAACCCACAATGCAAGGATCAACTCCTTACTCCGTGATTCTAGAGCAAATGCTCTAACCACTGCACCATGAGGGCGACTTTGATCAGTCCCAGGTTCTTGATAAATGCAGCTGTATGTAAGAAGAAAATAACATTGGATTCCAAGTTACAAATTCATATTTTAATGAGTTTACAGTGCAAGTACTTCAGATTTCAGTCAAATTGTAAAATTCTGCAAAGTTGAATATTGGACAAGAATAGGAAAAAAAAATAACAATGCCATAATGACACAGATATTCTGTCCATTATCTATGGATATTTTGCTACAACAATTTACATGAAATTTTACAAACACTTTTTGAATGCTACATTGTCATAGAAACTTGTCATTAAAGCAGACATATGCCACATTCAATTAATACCTCTGTTGCATACATTTATTTTACTGAATATAAGTTCAAAGATGGAGAAGCAATGTACTGTAATCATCTCATACTCTGATTTTTTTCTAAATATAAGGAAAACAGCTTGTAGATATAATGTTATTGTGCAATCATTGTTTCCATGGATAACATTTATTGGGTAACCATTCTCCTCCAAATCCTGGGCCACTGGTATTGGAATATCAGGTTCCATACTTTGCTTGATCCATCCAACTTTCTTGAACATTCAGGAGCTGGAATATAATGGTCTTTACTATAATAGATGGCACAGATCTTCTAAGCAAGAACTGAAGTACTTTTTCTGATTCTTTTCCAATCAATGATCCATAATCTGAAATTGTGTGTTCATTTTCATATAATGAAAGGAATGAAAAAAAACCAAATGAAATGAATGAATTTCCAACATACTCACTTTATAACAAATAATGGTACTACATGTATTATAAAAATTAATGTATACATTTCTATAGATTGAATTAGATGAATGCAATCATAAAAGCTTGATGAGTGAATTTTCTAAAACACACCCTAAGATTATTCATAAATAGTCATGCATAATCTGGATCTCTTTTTATTTAAAAAATGAGATACTGTACTAATAAAAAATAGAACTTCATTTACAGAAAGTATTCCCAGGCCCTCATTAAGACCATTCAATCTAAATTAAATCTATCCGCATGCCCCCCCCCCCCCCCCCCCAATTTTGACGATATATAGAATACTAAAGAAAACATAGCTATTATATGCTTGTGCCCCCTCAATAATGTCTGATGACTTTTTTTTGTCAAGGAATTTTTTAATTATTGGTAGTGCCCATCTAAACTGAAAATGTTTGGTTTTCCTGGTGCCCCCCCCCCCCCCTTCTATCCAAACTGAAATTGCTTCCCACGGGCCTGATCCACATTATACTAATGTATCATTTGGTAAGGAAAACATAAATACAAACTGTACTTTAGAAAAGCTCACCTGTATTATGTCATAATTCCAACCTGTGCCAGTTGTCTCTATAAGCCCCCATTAAAGGTTACTTCAAACTGCGAAAAAAAAAATATCAATAAAATTAAATTTATAAAAAAAAAAACAAAAAAACTTATATTTACATGTACCAACTAAACATGTATTTATTTTGAGAGAACCAAAATTTACCTCTGTCAGAGTAGGACAATCAACTGAGCTTAGCAATCAGTAAAACTTAAACAATACTGGAACATATACAGCCAGTGCATAGAAGTAAAATAGGAAAAGTACCGT